TGTGAGTGAGTCAGTTAAAAAAAGTTTGATAGAAATGAGGATTTGCCGCCATGACTTTGCTGGAAACATCATCTCAGCATCAAAATTCAGGAACTTGGATAGTGCGGAGACAAATACATTGTCAGGAGCTGAAAAACAAGCCCAATGGTCTTCTACAAAGGAGGAAATATCTTCTAGAAAAGAATCCCTCAGCTCCCACAATTTTTACCAGGAAATCTATGTTAACGGCGCGTGTTCACAAAAAGATTATAGCGCTTTGCAAACGGAACAAGTTGAAGCAAAAACATCGTTACAGGAATACGTTTCTGTCGCAGAAATAAACAATATACCGAAATTTTATGACAGAGACAATGCCTGTGGGGATAAATGCGATATTTTGCCATCTTTTGAGAAATTCTTTCGTGCCGCGAGAGTTCTGGGGGTGTGTTTACCGTCGAAAGAATTGTATTCAAATGTTCAAAGGAGACTAAGTGGCGTATGTGAGGGTCATTCAAGTGACAATTGCGTGCAAACACAAAGCAACCTCCTACGGGTTTTGAATAAGCGGTTTTAACTTAACATCGTGAGATCAGTGCAATGCATATAGAGTGATTGGTAATGAGAGTTTTATTTAAGACAAAGTGACGAAGTTAAACTGAACATAAAGGGTGTTTGATGTATTCGAGATAAATTATGAACATAATTAAATAGTTATAGCTATCGCTTAGTGCCAACGAGCAAAGATTTTACCTACACGCGCGCGCTGTTCAATTTGTTTAGAAATGTCATGAATTACCGTAATTTCCGAAAAACAGTTTGAACTCAATTCGATTGCATAAGCGAAAATTGCCGTGGAAACAGTGAACTAAACTGTTCTACTGTATAAAGAATTTGAAATCCCGACCTTTTATAGCATATCTTTCGAGAAATTGAAGTTCGTGTTGTTGTCCCTGCGCACGGGTCATTTTGCGTAAAATCTAGTTGTCTTATAATTAAGCCAACTTAGAATCCTCCAAAAATCATAAGTCCGCGAATATTTATCTTTTGAAGGCTTAGGAAGCAAAAATTACCTTGAAAATAGTGAACTAAATTGTTCTACTGCATAAGGAATTTGAAATACTAACCTTACATAGCATATTTTCTTAAATTCTCTGTTCTACATTACGTCATAAAAGTTACAATACCTTAGGTTACATTGCCTCGCAGCCTCGCGTCTTCGCGAGGCTGCTCGTTGGCAATAACTAATTACTAATTGCAGTTCCCTGCAACAAATAAACATTGTACGAAACGATTATTCGGCTTGCTTGCTGCGCGAATATCAAGGAAGTCAGTTTAAAAAACTTTACAACTCGGTACTGTCGAACATGTATGACGTGAAAGTGCTGGTCCAGAAGGGGAATTCAGCGGTAAACTTCAAAAAATACATCTAGCCGGATTTATGAGAACGTTACCGCCAGCAGTTGTTTTTTCGGCCAAAAATCTCCAAAATAGCCATTATAAAAACTAAGAGTGCAACCATTGCTTTTTCTCTTCTCCTTTCTTCCTCGCTCTTTCTTTTTCGCCTTTCCTTTGTGCGCACTAGCTGTCCTTCTGTTGTATCGTCAGCGAAAATATCAATAGAAGATCTCGATGGCTGTAGCGGTGTATCATTGACAAATAAAAGGAACTAAATAGGTCGCAACACGGAACCCTGTGGTACACCTTGTTTTATAGTAAGGGGGTCTGATCTTTGTCCATTTTTATTCACGAGCTGTCTTCTCTCGGAAAGATATGATGTAAACCAAGAAAGTGTGAGTCACTGGCTCTGTAGAGCCTTAATTTAGATAATAAAGGTTGATGATTCCAAAGTCGACAAAAATCATTCCAAGTAACTTCGTCCCGGTCCAAGCTGAACAATATTTCGCTTGTAAGTTTGATCAGAGCAAACTCAGTAAAGTGACCTTCACAAAAGCTACGAGATAGTTGACAAAGGATGCAGCAAAATGTTTCTCCATTACTTTGGAAAGGACGGACAGTAGAGAAATGGGTCTGTAATTATTGCGGCTGTCGTGCGCACCATCCTTATAAAGAGGTGTAAATTGAGTTATTCTTGCCACTTTTCATTTGCTGGGAAGGGTCCCCTTTACTATCGACAGGTTGAAAAGCCTGGTAAGAGGATGAGAGAAGACCGGAGAAACCATTTTCAGTAGTTTAACACTGATGGCATTAGGGCCTGTTGCTTGCGAGCTAGACAGTTTGTCAATCATTTTTTGGGTCTCCTGGACAGTTATTCGGGGAATATTGTACTGGGCAACAAAACTATCAATCTTCAATGAAACATGATCTTCGAGCTTCTTATGGTCAAATTTGACTGTTGGAGTTAACCCATTATACCAACTCTTTGACACTATTTACAAAGAAATCGTTTAGTTTATTGGCCATAGCTTAAGTATCTGTTTCAGCCGTACCACTTCCCGCTTTAACTCAGTGATATTGTTGGACGTTTGAGCCTTAAGTAGGAGTAAGAGATTTCAACGCTTTTCAAATTCCCTTTGGATTTTCTTTGTTGTTGTCAATTGACTCTTAAAAATAGAGGCGCTTTTACTTTTTTATAAATATTACATAAGCCGCAGCATCATACGTGTTAATTCCTGGCTACCCATTTTTGCAGCATGATCCCCATGGGCCCTAACTGAATAGCCGCAACGTTAGTAAGGGCCTGTTTACCTGGAGGTGGGGGACCCCAGGTAGGTGAGATAACCCGCTTTGGTGAGTAACCCCCCTGTCCATATAATCTCTCAGTTTAATTTGATCACGTTTACATGATAGGTGGGGTGACCCGCCGCATGTTACCTCACCTATCTTGGGTCCCCCACCTCCATGTATAAACAGGCCCTAAATTTTGCGATTTCTTTTCATTTTCTTGCCTTTGTTCCTGGTATAGATAATAGCTGATTGGAGACATCCGTATTCATCCTTAAAACAAGGCAACAAGAAAAATCCGTGAAGAGAAATGAAATTCTGGTTTACCGATAAGATCCTAGAAATAAGACTGAAATTGCAAACTTTTGAAGAAGTAATTCGCCGAATGCCTATTGAGCGCGTTTTAACCTGGCTCGTTAGCCTGCTTAAATTATAAGCAAATGACCAGATTAGATGCTCAGATATTGTGTCGGGACGTTCCGTCTAAGTAAGTCAAGTAGGAAGGAAAGTTTCAGTAACACATACACAAGGCCACCATTTTTTTTGTTCAAAGTGTGTTTCTGCTTGTTAACTAGAGGTTTTTGTTAGAGACATTGATTATGTCCATTAAAAAAGTCCTCAATCGCAATTTATTTCTATACGATACCTCGTCATGTATGTCTGTATATCATATACTTCAGCTATTAGTGTAAATTGTTGAAACCCTTCTCTCATAAGTAAATGGAGGCATAAGCCAACTTTTTCGTGAACCATATCTTCGAAGTCAACTTTAGGAGATTTTTTTCAGGCATTCTCCGCGCAAAATCACCGGTTTTAAGTAAAAGGAAAAATTCCTACAACCACCTCCCCCATTTGGTAAACATACTTTCGGAGCCAACTTTGGGAGGTTTTTTTTCCGGCTTCCTCCCCCCAAAATCACGGGTTTAAAAAAAAAAAAAAAATCCCTCCACCCCCCCCCCCCCCCCCCCCCCCCCTCACACACACACACCCCAAGCCCCTAACATAACGAGTAAGGGGAACGAAAGACTGAATCTAATAACTTATATTTATTTTATCACGATCAACCCCACCAAAGCATACATAAATTTCTTTTCTTACTTTTATCTACCGTCTTTTCATGAACTTAAAGTCGACTCCCGATAACTCGAACCTTCAAGGGAAATCGAGAAGGTTCGAGTTAAAGAGGGGGCGAGTTATCGGGAGGTGGAAGAAAATAGCCGAGAGTAAGGTAAAAAACAGTTTTTAATGCACAGTGAACATTTTAATCACATTTAATTGTAGAAATGTCAAGTGAAAATTAAAAGATACTTCTAGATTATAAATCAGAACGTAACGTAACAAAACATAGCCTAAATAGAGCATGCGTTCTACTGTTTTGAGAGGAAAAGCTGCTTCACGTTGGCCTGTGACAATCAACATCAGCCTCCACTAGTAAACTATACTCCTACAACACGTCAATAGGAAATCCAAAACGCAATGTTTCGGACGCCAGTAGACGGCTTTTTCCCGACTTTTTAAGGGCTCAAAACATGGTTCGAGTTATCGAGGGTAAATTTATATAGAAAATGACCTCTGGGGAAACAAAAATTGGTTCGAGGTAGCGGGAGTTCGAGTTATCGAGGGTTCGAGTTACCGACGGTAAAATTACAGTGAATGTATGACGGAAATCCAGGGGAAATCGACTTTGGTTCGAGTTAGCGCAAGGTTCGAGTTAGCGAGGGTTCGAGTTATCGGGAGTCGACTGTACTCCTACAAAATGAAAGTTTAGAAAATTTTCTCTTTCTGATAACCAGTTAACTAACGAATGAGCTCTCGAGAACTTGTAAAGGTAGCTACCCTTTCTATGTGCCTTGGGTTGTATACAGCAAAAGCCAAAATAAAAAATTACTCACTTCAAATACTTTAAGTCTACCAATAAAAGGCCTTCTTTTTGTTTCCTTTTTTGTTTTTCCTTTGTTTTTGTTTACAAAGCTTTTTTTCTCTTGCACAAGCCGGCCAACGCCCACAAGACAGCAGAAGAACCGTAAAGAAAAATTAAAACAAAAAAAACGGTCTATCTTTACTGTCTACATTACTTATTTTTATCTATATTACAGTTCCCTTTCTATTTACACGGATATTAAAGTTTACTATCGATCTGAAAAAAAAATTATGACTAAAAAACAACAAACAAGTTTTTATTTCACTCTTTCGATGGTCTTGAAGCCAGCTTCTCACTTCCAGAAATTTACACTGAAGAGAAAGGAAATGAAAAGTACATATTAATCAACAGCTACTTTCGAATGAAAACTATCTTCTATTTATAACAGATGAGTTTATAATGACAACAACTTTTAAAGCTACAGATCAGTACAGAACTGTTTGTGAAAGGTTAATCCAGGAGTCATGATTTCATAAGTAAGTTGAACATGATCGTCTGGGTGAGCGCTGTCCCCAACAGGACTGTTGTTGACGTTGACTGTCGTTTCGACAAACAGTGCGGTAGTTATCTTCAGAGTCAAAGTGAGTTGCATCACGTCAGTTGATGGTATTAAACTGTGGTTACTGACCTGTTTGATCAATTTTAAGAATGGCGATGTTATAGCATCAGGTCAATCAGACCGGAGACTGCGAAGCGCGCGAGGAGCGCCAAACACGCGCAACAAGGGAAGGCACGAGCTCCTCGCTCGCTTTACGCTTTCCTTTGCTCGCCTGAAAAAATTTTAAGACGAAAAAATAACCGCCTGTCATGCAGGCTACATCGGCCTGGCCCCTTTTGACCTTGGCAGATAACTGTTCAAGTCTTACTTAGGCCCCTTCAGTGATTGTTTAATTATCCTAGCCCCTCCTCTTTCTTTGTTGTTTAAAATGGATAGAAGGCTAAAGATGGAGTTACCTGAAAGCCAGGAGGATTCCCAGTACGACGTCAAACGGCGAAATCTTCTGGGCACCTGAAAAGTTCACTTTGCCATTAGCCTGCGAATACAGCCCGCTCTCCTCGCTCCTCTTCGTCTGAGACTTTCTGCGGGAGAGACGTCTGCGCCTCAACGACAGAAATTCTATACTGATGACGTAAATCGATGTTTACATAATTTTTCTGGTATTTTGTAAACCGATCTGGTGGTATGTAAAATTTTGCACACGTTTAAGTTTTCCTGGTTTAGTATCGTAAAGTTTTGAATCCTGCGAGCGGTAGCAAAACTCAAATGCTTCTTCTAACGAAGAATACATTACACGAAAAATGACTATTTTGCAGTAGATTCATCGCGTTTACATTTGACCGTTGTCTTGTCTTTTGTCTATCATTCGTAAACAATAGGTAAAAGAATATAAATCGACCAATCAGATTCTGGACAGATTTTACGTCACTACAATGGAATTTGTGGCGCAGACGTCTCTCCCGCGAAACCTCCCTTTGCTAGCGGCGAGAAGCGAGGAGAGACGGTTGAATTTTCGGTCTAATTTATAATATAATTGTGCTGTTTATTTACAGTTATGTAAAGAATGTGTCAGCGAGTGAGTTGGTCAATGAATGCAGTCCCTTACATCATTATCCATTGTCCAACCAACAAATGGAAACACTTGGGGATCGCTTTCAATCACTTCTGTCCACGTAGTACTACATACACTACAACAGAACCTGTTCAACGACAAACTTTTAAGGACCGTTTTATCATAAAACCAGCAGAAAATGGAATGATCTAGTCGCACATCTTGGCCTTTAATACTTATCTTTACCGTCGTTATAAACAAGCAGTCGTCGTTTTTTAAGACCCTGACGACGAGCTCGCTCGTTTACTTAATCAATATGCTTGACCTGTACCCGGGTCAATAATTTACAGAGGAATATTACTTGCTTTTAGTAACTAAGTGCTTGCAGACTGCGGTCCCCGGCTGTATGTGAGTAGTTACGAGACTTAATGTCGTATATAAAGGATGTTACATGGCCGCTCACAGATACGAAATAATATTTCTCCACGAGAAAATAAACTTCCTATGATTTCCGAGCGGCCATGTGATGATCTATTTAGTATATGAACACCGATGAAATACCAAACAATTTCACTTCAATATTTTTTGCTGCGAAAGGCATTGTAGCCATAGCAACGGTGATTACCGGCATTTTCTTCTGAATGCATTGCTTATTTTATGGTCTCGGTGCACTTAATGACATAAAATGAAGTAACATAAGAAAAATGGGAAACTAAAAGTAAAATTGTCACCTCTCCTTGCTATTCCTACAAAAACGAACTAGTGACAAAGGCTATAAAATAATCGTTAATCTCAACAGCAGAGTTCATTCAAATAAGTATCTCCGCCTCCACTTTTTACATCTAGAAAGGCCATTCAGGTCATTATGCAGAAAACCACGTGGTATCATGAAACACGTGACTTTGACGTTTTACGGGGGAGCAAGGGATGGCGCAGTGGTGAGAGCGCTCAACTCCCACCAATGCGGCCCGGGTTCAAATCCCGGCGTCGACGCCATATGTGGGTTGAGTTTGCTGTTGGTTCTCTCCCTTGCTCCGAGAGGTTTTTCTCCGGGTACTCCGGTTTTCCCCTCTCCTAAAAAACAAGCATTTTCAAATTGCAGTTGGACCAGTAATCAGGTAGATGAAGAATCACTTTGTGGATGTGCTACCTCCAAATCATCATTATTTATTATTATTTATTTATTATTTATTATTTATTTATTTATATTTATTCACTTCGTCTCATGATCGATCCTCCCTCACTCCCACTCCTCAAACCCGTACAAAAAGTCTTGGGCTTTTATCATACCTGACGCGGGTTTGCTGCAGTATTCTAAACAGTCGACTGATTCCATCCTGGTCTTTACACCATTGCAACTGTATTTAGCTTCTTTGGGTTTACATTCTCTCTCAATAGTGAATGGTCCAACGCCTGGACATTTACTGCACTCGTTTGCCTTGGCTTTCCATTTTGTAAGCGTTACCTCTGCAAAATAAGAAATGGTAATATTCATTTAAAATATATCTCCGTTGCTGATTGGCTCCAATACAACGACTAATTCTTCATAACCAGCTGGCATTGACCAGCTCGGAAGACGCTTGCAATATCCGGAAAATGACGTGAATAGTACGGAGTAATCGCAAGAAAAAGGGATGGCAACCGAGAAGCCCGGGAAATACTAAGGTTGCGTTGTTTCGGTAATGTAGTACACGATGGTGGAACATTTCACACGCATAGCCGAACTACTGCCTAAAATATTAGCAAGAATGCAACTCGACGGATGACATTTGCTATTCATTGAGGAAAATCTCGTAGACTAAACATCTCTTTACCGCGGAGCGTCCGCGCGCTCGAAGCTATAGAAAGTGGTAGCTTATCGATGCCAGAAAATTTGGTACCGACCATCCGTACAGCCTCTAGAAGTAGTAGGGGTAAAAACGCAGTATGGTAGGGAATGGAGTCCCGTGTACGTTGCGTTTCTTTTTGGCGCAAAATTAACCATTTTAGGGACAACCAAAGGAGTTGCGCAAGTAAAAATCTAGATTGAAGTTTCTTGTGTTCGACGTAAGACAAAATTTGCGGGAATAAATTTCTAAAGCTTTGCTTTTTGCTTGGTCACGCTTTTGGTCACACTCCAGGAACAAACCTAGTCTACTCCCCCACTTGGTCAAAACTGGTTCGTTTAGAGTAGGATCTCCGGGGCTCTTTTGGACGATCTTGATATCTTTACCCGCCGTTTATCCTGACCCGACTGACTGCCCCTGGGTCTTCGAGGATGGGGTCTTTTCGATCGGCAGAGGAAACAAAAAGTATAACTGACAGTAAAGGTTACTGAGTTTCAGATATTGTGAAGAATAATCTTAAAGGTAGTTCACATGAAACGGTTTGTCGGTCCGATTTTGCAAAGAAAACATATTCTAAACACAAAAACCGGCCTAATTAACCATTTGGGTAGAATCCCTAAAGACGGAGATTGCCCTATAGACATAAACTGTGAACTGGGCGCAGCCAAAAGGTTTCGTGAATGACAACCAGCCTTTCCTTTATAAAACACTGAATTTCATGGGCCATTAGCTTCTCAAAGAGGTGTGGTGTTGGGGGGGCTAGGGTCAGTGATGCACACGTTTGGGGACAGGACAATTCCAAGACAATTACTGTGATCGGATTTGATTTATAATTTTCTCTTTTTGTTTTAAAATTAGTTAAGTAAAAAATTTCTGGATTTGCATAGGTTGAAGCTTGTTCGTTTTTTGGTTTTAAGTGATTAAAAGTATACAAATGGACGCTTCGCTTTTAGCTTTGGCTAAATCTATATTTTATCGTCAACTTGCCGAGAAACAGACGAACAAAGACGGGGAAATAACATTGACCGAGGTCAGCATGTGTTAGCTTCTTTTTAAACTAGGAATTATTTTGAACAAATAACAAAACAATTATACGATTCGGCTTTCGTAGGATTTGAAGAATGATGCAAACCTTGGAAGGTGTTATCCGCCTCGGCAGATAATACCCTCAAAATAGTGGTGACCAAGTTACTTGTACACGATACCTGCGTTATTGCGATCATACCTTAGGCCAAGTTGGCTGGATTCAATCACACTGAGATCATGCAAAAAGCACAAATATTCAGCCATCTTGGCCGAACAAGCTCTTGGTGATAAATAAAGGATTTATCATATGGCTAAAACAACATCTTTGCCCGCGGGACGAAGAAGATAGGTCCATCTTACCTCCTCGGACAGCCAATCAGCAGAACATGGCATTGCTTTATCTTGCCCGCTCAAGGAACAAACCATATCTTAAAACGTGGATATATTTAAATCTTGTTATTATAATACAAATTCAATCCCGCAGTTGACATCATTTTCATTCTTCATGCATTCTTTTCACGGGATAAGATGGACTCGACAAATTGGCCTGATCCCAATGTATGGTAAGGCACTACAGCGCTAATGCAAAAGATATGGGTTCGAAGCCCTGAAGTCTTTTAATGGTCATATCTTCATTTATGCTCATTTCACACCAACGAAACATGTTTAAACCATTTTTTTTTTAAAAAAAAAGAAAAACAGACACGGAAAACTGACTGGCACACAGGTTTTCATACAGGATTAGAATGAAATTCAAGAAGTTGTCTAATTTGTACTAAATTAGCAATCAACTTAAGTCAGTTAGCAGCTTTTATGAAGGAAACAATTTTAAACCGTGTTTAACTAAACAGTTTTTAACCATGTTTTAACTTTAGTGTAAATGAATTGTATTCCCGTACCTTTCGTCATCTTCATTCTAAGTCTAATATATATATATAGTGCCAGTATTAACTCACCAGACGCCCCAAAATCGACTTCTGTAACGCTTTCGTTAACAAACTTTTTCCACTTTTTAAGTTCATCTTCAAGGTAACCTTCTTTGGCATCTTGCATAACCAAACATAGCTTAAATTCCACAAGGATCCAATCTCCCTTCTTCTTGACCGTAAGTTCTGATACTTTCACATCGTCGTATTTACTGATATCGTTGAAAACTTTATCTTTCTGTAAAAGAATGGAATCACTGAACTAATATCTTTGTGGGCTTAAACTTCTATCAGTTAAAAAACGTATTCTGTTTGTTTCTTTCTGTTAAAAAAATTTGATGCTGATTATTAACAATCAAACTCTTGTAACTTGTGAGACAAAATTCCTTAGGCCATCTTAGGCGGTCAGCGGTCAGCGAGCCAAGATGGCTGCCTAATTTTGTGCTCCACAAATTTATTGCAATCAAGGTTATATTCTCTCGTATTCTTTCCGTTATGGGACCAAAAAGGAAACTTCCTATGGCTAATGATGCTATCGATCCAACTGATTCGACTTTTGGGATAAATTAGAGATCAAACTTAACGAGTGGGTTAAATCATCATCCCGGGCCTCGTTACGAGCATTATGCAATCTCATGTCACTAAAATCGCCGACGACTATATCTCATCCACTGAGTTTCAAAGATCTCTGGCTGATAGTATCAACGTTGATGCCGCCGGTTTTGAAATTCATCTTGGTTCATCGGAAGAAAAGTTAAATGAACTAATAAATTCATATCAAGCAAAGACAGCCAAACTGGATGAAGAGTTAACCAAACTTTAAGAATAATCTAGCGCTGAAAGACAAAGCCATAGCAGGTCTTGAAGATGACAATTGTGACCCTCCACAGGATTTTAATGCTAAAGGTGAAAGCACGCGCACGACACGCTTTCACTTTAAAACAAAAGAATTTATTTTAACACACTTTAGCACGCTTGCAATCTTGCCTCATTAGCAATTTCTTTTGTTTCAGAGGACACGCTTGAGACAATTAACCGTGAGCAAGTCGGACAAAAGAGCGTGTTAAAGTTTTCAAACAAAAGCTCCGTGCGAAAAAGCACAACAAGCTTTCAGTGTGCGCAAAAGCACGCAAGGCGTGTTATCTATAAGCTTAATAAATTTCCTCTACAAAAAGGAACCGCAAATGATTATGAACGGCACCCTTTTTTGGTAACTATAAGAAAGAAAAAGTTATACCTCAGCGATCGCAGCGATAGTATCTGATTGAAAAAACGTTGTTGCTTGAAAAGCATAAACAGTGAACGGTGTGACCTACTGGATTTATGGGTAGAACTATATTAGCATTGCAAAATCAAAGTTCTTTACAGAAATGGAAAGAACTTTAGCTCGATCTAAAGGGGTAACGGTCAAGCTACTCGAAAGTGATGTCGTTTGAAGTTATGTCGTCCAAAACCTGATAATATGAGCTTTGTCGCCCAAAATTCAAGAAAAGTCGCCCGCAATCCTCCCTCATTCTACAGTGTTTTTAGTTTACAGATTCTTGTTTTTTTCGTACTGTGAAGAACGAGATATAGTACACGTTTACAGCGCTTGATTCGTCTTAGCATAGCGTAACGAGATATCTTCACATAAATTATGATTGATAGCGCTTCGTTCGTCAGGGGCACCTGACGGCGATTTCCTCCTAAATGCATCCTAGCATCCTAGGACAACTTCAGTCTTTTCGAAATTACAAGGGCTTCAGCATTATTTTCCCAAAAAATTTAGCTTCCAATTGAAAGTTTCAGGAAAGTGAGAATTTTATCGTATTTTCGGTTCCGAAAATTTTAGGATTCCTTAATTCTCTACGAAAAATAGCTTAACTGGGGAATGAAATGGAAAAAATTAAACTTCAGAAAATCGTAAGGAATTTATTAGATAACCTTCGAAAATTGTACATGCATGGAACGGTCATCTAGAAATGTTTAGCCTTCCTCAACCTATAGAAAATTCTAGGCAGTTTTTGTTTCTTCGATTTAATTACCTTCGTTCGTCTCAGCATGGCTTAAAGAAATATATTAAACTAATTTATTCAACTTCATTTCTCTGTGCATTTCTGCTAATAAATATTCCGGTGGCATAACTATAATTTTCAGGCGACATAACTTCAGTGCCTCGTATGCGATAGCAGGCCTCTTTGCGATTCCGGTCAACAGCCGACAGCCGGAGGAATTGGTTTACACTGATCTCGCGTTAATTCCAGGCTAGACCACCATTAAGTCGTGATTTTCAAATGGCCACGGTTACTATCAAATTCCAAAACAGTCTCAATTGGTATATTTGATTCACTTCGACCAGTCATCAATGCTGATTAAATCCGCTGAAAACCCAAGCCATTTTTATCATCTTAGCGGTTTTAGTAATCAAGCGTGTTCAGCGTGTCTTACCCAAATTGCACGCTAACCGTGCTATAATTCGCACACTTACCGTGACATATGGCACGCTACAAAAAAACAAAAGGTCTAGCGTGTTAAATTTGCCAAAACAAAGGCAAGTGTGTCCGTCTTTGTTTTTTCAATTTAATATGCGCATATCCGTGATCTACGGCACGCTAAGCGTGTCGTGCAAGCGTGTCGTGCGCGTGCTTTCACCTTTAGCATCAAATTCCTGTGGAGAGTCACAATTATAGACTATCACAAGAAGTAGTCGACTTGGAGCAATACACAAGAAGAACCAATGTTCGTATCTATGGCATTGCTGAACAGCCAGAGGAGAACACTGACAATCTTGCAGTCGACTTCTTCAAATCTGAACTCAAGGTGGATGTTGCTTCAAATGACATAAGTAGATCTCATCGTGTAGGCAAGAAATCTGGAGCCAAACCAAGACCTATTATCGTGCGGTTTACTAAGCATAAGACTAAAGTTGCGGTCGTATGTCTCGCCGCCGTGTGCTCAAGGAACGTAAACGTCCATGGATTTAACCATCAATCGCCGCGAAATTCTTAAATACTTAAACAAGGATATTGAAGAAGGCATTGTCAGTAAAGTCGGGACTGTGGATGGAGTAATATGTTTAATATCATAGGTGACGAATTACCCCTTAATTTTGGCGCGAAATCTCAGCGTTAACTTGTAATTTCACATGTGAAATTACAAAATTGCCATGGCAACCGTTCCGTACGTCTCAGTGTCAAGATGGCGACGAAGTTTTAAAATGCCGTGAATGAAGATGTCAGTGCACAAAAAGACGCTTTAGAAAACCTGTACACACAAGAGAACATCAAGAAGGATTCTAACAGGTATTTTGCCGAAAACGTCTGAAAAATTCACAGGTGGCCCAAACTCACGTTGCGAGGGAAGGGTGTAATGTAATTTACATAACATAGGTGACGCGCCGGTGTCGCGTTACAGGGGACCGTTGAAAATGTAAGAGACTTTGTATGAGAAATATATTACTGAGATCTTCGCACGCTAAATAACGCAAAACCTTACTTTTTCTTAAATGAATTGAATAAAAAAGACTTACCTACAATGTATTCCACTGCGTTTTGGTGTCTGTTTGTCGTTTTACTGTTTTTTGGCTTTATTGCGTAACCACTGTTACTTCGTTCTATGATAGGAGTAACAGTGGTTACGCAATAAAGTAAAAAACAGTAAAACGACAAACAGACACCAAAACGCAGTGGAATACATTGCAGGTAAGTCTTTTTTATTCAATTCATTTAAGAAAAAGTAAGGTTTTGCGTTATTTAGCGTGTAGAGATCTCAGTAATGTATTTCTCATACAAAGTCTCCTATATTTTCAACGGTCGCCTGTAACGCGACACCGGCGCGTCACCTATGTTATGTAAATTACATTACACCCTTCCCTCGCAACGTGAGTTTGGGCCGCCTGTGAAAAATTCTGAACTTTATAAGCCAAATTTAAGGTCTAAACATTTGAGAGAGTGGAGTTCTCGATCGATACGATCCAGGATAAACGTGTCAAAAATCCAAGATTGCTAACGTAATTCGTCACCTATGATATTAATTGGTAATCAAATGGAATACTCGTGAAATTAAGGAATAATTTCACTTGCGTTTTGTCCAAATCCTAATAAGTTCCCTCGCCTAAAGGCTCGGGAAATTATAAGGATTTGGACAAAACGCGCGTGAAATTATTCCCTAATTTCACTCGTCACCATTTGATTACACATACTTCGGCCATCTGGTGACAGCTCTGTCATAGAACGCTGTCCTTTTTCAGAGGATTGTCAGGAGATCATAGCTAAGTATTGCCAATAGTCTGAACTTATGTTTATTTACTTGTAGTGACTTACAACTCTGTCATTGAACGCTGTCAATCTGACTTTTTCTTGCAGTAACTGAATTGCACTACACTACTATTAATAATCTTTTTTTTTCTTTTGCACATCTGTATTTACCTTTATGGCACCCAAGAACTGACTTCTTAAGAGTCATTGTATATATTTCCTTATTGCTTAATGATAATATTATATATAGTTTTTGTACTTACCGGCAAATAATATTTGAATTCGTTATTAGTTAACTCAACTTGCTTAACAGTTAACACTTAAGGTTAATTTTATATTAACTTTTTTTAATTATTTATTTGTTACTTTTTTTTCTTTTATTGTATGACCTAGTGTATGCCAAAGTGTGTAAAAAATACGTGTTCTATATGCCAATTACGAGTTCATAATAACCACAAAGCTATCTTTTGCAATATTTGTCACTTATGGACACATCTGAAATGCACCCCACTTTCTCTTTCAGAATATAATGACTTGACGCGTTCTCATGATGACTGGTATTGTCCTAGCTGCCTCTCTGACACGTTTCCTTTCAACCATTTCGATAGTGATACCGATTTCTATTTTGCCTTGTTAGATCTTCAATTTTCTGCCAATTTTGACAGCTCTCTTTTGGCAACTAAATATTTTAATCCGTTCTTGGAAGACCCTGATACTTATCAACTTCTTCACAACTCTGACCTTGATCCAGACATCAATATGCTCTCATCAACTTCTAACTTACTATCTAGATGTACTTATATGAACAGGAGACAGTTCAATAATCTGTTCTCAGTGACTCCTCTAACTCCAACTGCTTCTCATTATTTCACTTGAATATACGCAGCTTTAAAAAACACTCTGTTGACCTAGAGGAATACCTCTCTACCCTAAATACATCTTTCTCAGCCATTGGCCTCTCTGAAACCTGGCTTGACACCACTTCTAATGATTTGTGTAGTATCCCTGGTTACCATTTTATTTCTAAACCCAGACCTGTTGGATCAGGAGGTGGTGTTGACACATTTCTTTGTGATACTTATGAATACAAGAAAAGGTGTGACCTTGAATCTATGAATTGAATCACGCCTCATTCAGCTACTTTGATTGATGACATCTTATCCAATGACCTTGACAATCATGATTTAGTGGTATCCTTTGGTCTGACATTTCTGATCACTTACCTATATTTCAGATCACTAATTATTCCCTTAAACCTAAAAGTAAATCTTCAGTTTACCATAAACGTCTTATAACTACTCATAACTTTGAAAATTTCGTTCCTATCTTTGTTCTATTAATTGGGATTTCTCACAATCTTCCTCTTCAAATGCATTGTGCAGTTCTTTTATGGCATCCACATACTCTTCTCAGTTACAACCCCTTTTCCGTCTCCAGAAGAAAGCTTTAAGAATCATTACTCATTCTCCACCACGTGCACATACTTACTCGCTCTTTAACGTTCAAAATACTCAACATATTTAATATTTATAAGTACCAAGTTTCTTGCTTTGTTTTCCTTTACATGCAGAAGCTCTTGCCCTCTCCTCTTTCATCTCTTTTCGTTCTTAACTCTGATTGTCATCAATATCTCACCAGGCAAAAAGACAACTTACATCTTCATACTCACAAATATTCTTTTTCTCTTCGGGTACAGGGTCCTCAAATTTGGAATGACATTCCTCTCTCACTTCGTAATTCACTTACTCTTTCTAGTTATAAACATACACTGAGAGATTATTTTCAATCATTATAGGTTTAAACTAAGTGGAAATCAAATTTTTCTAACTTCAAACTCTTTTCTTTATTACTTTTTGCGCACTATCATTAATTGTTGTGTTTATTTTGCTTTATATGCAGTAATACCGTATTTTCTCGATTAAACGCCTCCGGCGTTTATTTAAAACTTGGCCTCAGGGACTCGGCGTTTATTTGAAGCCGGCGTTTAATCGGGGTCCGGCGTTTATTAATGAAGTAAAATTTTCATCATTCTTAGGTTGATGTATTATTTCACATTCTTTGAGATCCGTGCGCAGTTTGTAAAGGCGGGACGATTTCTCCCTTGGTCCCGACCTGACATAATGTCCCTCTATCTCATACGTACGGTATTACATACGGCATTACATACGGCACGTGTATATTGTAATCAGTATTTATGCAAACAGAACAAAACGTTAAAGTTTAAAAACGGCAATGTCGCCAACGTCCTTTATGTTTGTATCAACAAACGTTCGTAATAATGTTTGTGTCCTAATCGGCTAATCTTCGTGGACAACAATCTCATTACGTTCTTCTTCGAAAATGTCCGGCTCTAGGTCCGCGAATGGGTCGTTTTAATTTCTTCTACGGGGGCATCTTGTCCCAGCGCAGCGTAAAATGCCGCGGCCCTTTCAGTAAACTCCTCCCTCCCATTGCTTAGTGGGCCTTCTTTCTGAAAACAGTGTATTTTCTCATCTTCCGATCCGTCAATGGGTAGCGAGATCGCACACACTTCAAAACTCTTCTTGATAATGTCACTTGGGAGGCTTTCCCAGGCCGCTAATATTCTCTCAACACAGATGTGCCTTGAAGGTGCCTTAATGCGACCCGCTGGAGTAATTTCGTGCTCGGTTTCTGCCATCCAGTCATCGTAAGCTATTTGGCACAGATTCTTAATTCTTAATGTTACGCCAGACTTGTTCGTTAAGCATTTATTAAAATAAAAAAGGCAGTATACCGTACAGTACGTGTCATAGCAGTGTTTTTCTAGTGAATATCTGTACTTGTTGGCTCGACGCAAATAAACGCCGGGACCTCCAACAAACGCCCCCGGCGTTTATTTAAAAATTAGCAGTTTTGACCCGGCGTTTAAACGAGGCCGGCGTTTAATCGGGGTCCGGCGTTTAATCGAGAAAATACGGTAGTTCTTTATATGTTGTAATAGTTTGCCTTTTCTCTGTTAATCTTGTAATTATTAATTTTTATTCTCATTGTAACTTAGCAGCACATTGCAACTCTCTGACCTACGCCATATAAGCCTTTAGCTTTGCCATCTTATTATCGTTAACTTGTGCTTTGTGTACTTATTTATCAATAAAGATTAAAGATGTTCACTATGATACCAAATAGCTTTGCGCCGGCACTAAAATCATACCGGATGGGGCCTCTAGGACGAATAGGTTTTGTGCCACGCACTTTGGTGCAGTGTAACAAGGTATTAGGTCCGTAGCGGAAGTAAACAAGTAGAGAAGACGACTAGAACACACTGAGTTGAAAGTAAATTGGGATATAGGAAACCAAACCCTCGGCCAATCTCTCCGTCACATTGTTCAATATGTGTGAAAGAGTTATTCCAGTTCTGTGCCGTGGCTGTTATACTATACCGGAGCTTTTCTTGTAGGCACTAAAAGCTATCCGGTAAAGTGTGAACTGACATAGCCTTAAAATGATAAATAGATAGATACTAGACACACATGATTTCAGTCAGCCGCCTGCAGGGGCGTAGCTACCTGTACGCACGATACGCACACGTGCATACCTGAAAAAAGTCGTAAAAATATATTAATATAAAATATAAATTAATAAATTGAAAAAGGGAATAATAGAAAAAGCAAATAAATAAATAACGATTTGCAGGTAGCGCATCCACATAGTGGTTCTTCGTCTACCTGATTCCGGGTCGAACTCGAATTTAGAAATGTTGGTTTTTGAGGAGAGGGGAAAACCGGAGTACCG